GCGGGCGCGCGGCGCAGGCGGCGGTGCGCGCGCCGCCCCGCCCACAGCGGCAGCCCCACCAGCAGCGCCGGCAGCGCCACGCCCGCCACCACCGCGATGCCCAGCGGCGCGCCCGCCAGCGTGCCCAGCTGCCATAACAACTTTTTCTTCCGGGACCAAGGCTTTTTTCCCCAGAATGTACATCCGCTAGGGCTGTAAACAAAAGCATCAGTTAATATTACTTTTCAATCTGGTATGTTGGTAACAAAATAAATATTCCATCAGTAGTTATTATAAAAACAGTAGTTGAATGCTCACCTCAAGTAATGTAAGTCTGAAACCTCCTTCATACACAGCCAACAGAACTCCGCGCCACAGACGCAGCACACCATGTGGTTGCAGGAGCCGTCCTCTACCTTCACTATCAGTACGGAACATCGGGGGCATGGTTTCACGTCACCTGGAAAGTACATAATTAACTGTTACTATAAATTATGATTTTGTTACAAATTAGGCAAGTTTTCAATTGACAAAAATGATTATCACCACCACCTCCTAGACTCAACTGCTTAAAAGTCTTAAGAGGGGCTGCAAGAAGCATTAATTAGTTTCGGTTTTCTTGGAGTGATTGATTTATAAAATAGACTTTGGATCTCATTTCTGGTTTTCTCTATGACGGTACAAGTACTTATGAACTTTTAGTAATTGTATGTTTGTGCACATACCATGGTCAATATCTGGATGCGAGGGTTGCGGCGCCCGCGGCGGCGGCGCTCGGCTGCGTCGCGCGGCGTCGCAGGTCTGCGTGGGATGCCACGCCGCCTTACAGTGGTAGCAGAATGACGCGCCGCACCCCGGCGCCAGGCATGTCAGCTTCGGACACGACGCGCAGCCCGTCGCCACCACCGCGAAACTACAAACATTCAATTAAATATACATAATAATCTCCGTACTGTATCTGCTTCAGGCCAAGACGCCTAGCATGTACGGACATCATGTATCAGGGGATATCCGCTGACCTTTATTGTTTGAATGCTTATTGTTAGTCTTGGATATCACAACAAAATTAGTTGCAAAATATCATTAAAGGAGCAGGAAACAAATAGTTTCCAATCCAGTATAGGCACAATTACATATTGCAGAAGCCAGAAAACATTACCAGAAAAATGGACCAACAACACGTGCAGCTAAAGTTCAAATTAATCATGTAGGTGACGGAGTGTACCATTGTATATTTTACATAATCTGCAAAGTTTTCCCCAAAAAAAGTGGCTGATGTGAGGTTTGTAACTACGTACCTGCAGTCGGGCGCGGGGCACCACCGTGTGTCAGGGTCGGCGGCGAGCGCGCGTCTCACTGAGAACTCTTCATACTTCTCGTACAGCACCGGGTTGTCTACGATGCGACGAACGTCTAAAATAAAATATTTGATATTTTTAACCGACTTCCCAAAGAGGTTATCAATTCGGCTGTATGTTTTTTTTAGGTAACTACTAATACTAAAGAAAAAAACTGTAGGGGGAATGATGTGAAAGGAAAGGAATTATTTGTCATGTGATGATGACTGAATAAGGAACACGTAGTGTAAGACCACAAGTAACTTGGGTGAAGGGAAGGGCAGGAAAAAGTGCCGCTATATTGGAACAAATTGGAGCGTGCGTTACCCCAACAAGAAAGTATCTCCTAGAGATATATGAGTAGAACGTATAGTTGGTGCCTTATCTGCTGTAAATGTGCCCCCACTTAAAAAATGTGTGCCCCCTGTCGTTTTGAAAAAAAAAACGGAAAAACGATTCTTGCTGACACTATTTCAGTCTTTTTACCTAATGTAGATTTTTATACAGAACAATACAAGCGTATGGAGACAGGAAGGTTATGGACCGATAAGATGCTGCCATATACAAGTAAAATAATACACTAATAAATACATCGACATGGACCGTAAAATGTTATGACTTAAAGTTATTACTAAGTGGTTGACAAGGAAGTCTTGTTATGTCATACGTCACGCTTTACGATCGCATGGTAGATAACTAGATAATTAGATATCATGATAATTATGGGGTTATGAGCGGTCTTGATTTGTTAATTATGCCGTGTAGAAGGTACACAGTGGTCTCATCAGATTAACTACTAGAATAAATAAGTTCTGTTATTCTCATAAAATAGATTCTAAAGTAACAAAATGCCTAGATCGCCTAAGACAATAAAGACAAAATACAAAAAGCAACAGTTATGCATATCAGAAAACAACAAAAATACGTCCATCGGTTGTATTATTACAAACATAAAGATACTTCTACTACCCATGGATTTACGAAAGTACGTATATTAAAATTAAATGTACCACAATATCAAATACCCGAGATCGCAGAATTCTCTGGGACGGAGACTCTATCGATTTCCGTTATTTCTGGGAACTGTTCTGATAGGGTTTGATCAAGTAATACATTTTACTGCGAATCCTCCGCGACTCGTCCCCATTACACAGAATTAATAATATAACTGACAGAGTGTACTAGACGTCTCCCTACCTAAGTAGGGGAATATCAAGGGCGAGCATTATAAAGTCGCTGTCTTTGCCAGAAGCCTTATCACATCGAATTAACTTTATATGAATAGAGCTCCAACCCTCTTAAATTTAAAGTCACCGCAAAGTCGAACAACTTAAAGCCCCATAATTACTTTTGAAGTAAGTTTCCTACTCGAGCCAGTAAACACTCCGTGCTGTGTAAGTTGGTTCATAAAACTGCGCGTCTACCATTTTTATGGCACTTCATCAAAAGCCATTGAAACCAGTTGAAATAGGAAACCAAAAATGAGTAACAATTAAAATATTGGAGTTTCTACGAAAAGGAAATACGCGTGGGTGTATCGGGTGTAGCAGTAAACATGTCCTTGTGTCGAGAATCGTTACGGGTGGGTCTTTTGAGCAAACATTACCCTCAATAGGGTACTTCACTCATTTTTTGTACATTGTATCAAAAAATATGGTACGAGTAGATACATGACATCGTCCCATTAGTTTTATATTTAGAGTGGGTATCTTGTATCATCTTGTCGCTAGTTACGTTATTGATCCCATTTATGATCCTCCCAATCCCTACAACGAGCGACCTTTTGCTATCGAGCACGTGTACTATACGTACATACATGTATTTACAACGTTATGTTAAAATTTTCCATTCAGGAAGACAGAAAACATCAGTACCTGCGTGTTCTTAAGAAAAATAAAGTCGCGAGGAAATCAAATACATAATGATGACATTTTATTTACTCAATCGAACTAACAAGTGTGCTGGAGTGGACACTCGAATTCGATTCGCCATTTTATTTACTAAAACTATAAAAAAACCTGTTCATTTTAAAAATACGATGAATGTGGTGCAAGTGTGTTTTTGAATAAGGAAAATCAGGTATTGTGTTGTTCTCTGTGTGTGTAAGTGAACGTTAAGTTCAAGTATTACCCACAGTGCTACACATTGAGCAATTACTGCATTAAATACATCTCTTGCGACACTCACTTGACACAGAAATACTTTTTATGACTCGTCAGCTTTTGCCTTAACAGTTCCTATAATTATATATTGTATCGTTCTCAGAACAGTTATTCAACGTAACTGTTGTGTGATAAATGTAGGCATACTCGTGTGTCACCAGCTTTTTGTGGTTTTTTTTTTAAGGGGGGAAAATCATCGAATGACTGCTCCCGCCTGGGTGAGGCGGGAGGGAGTGTCAGACTCTTACTGACTAAAAACCACCCCGTTCCTTCTCCTGCACGTCGAGCCGGAGCCCCGGTTACCCGTTAGGTTCTCCGCTACTCAGCTTTTTGTGGTAGGGGTAGGTAAATGGTAGAAGTAACATGACAGTACTACCGGAAAATAAAAGCCATGTTTACGGATGTGAAAAGATTGTTCACATTTAAAATTGAGAATCAACTAACGCATATTTTTTTTTTCTCCCGAATATTCTTCGACGCTCTAGAATGGCAAAACAAAAAATATATGACTTAGCTCAGCTATTGTTAAATCGTAATAAGAATTACATGAATATTACGACCTGTTTATAAAATTAAATCCTAGAATAATCTGGGTATGTACACTAGAATTTCAATTAACGCGCCTCACAGCTGTATGCCTCTGTTTGAATACTTAACTACTCTACTTTGACGTCAGAGCAGAGGAAAAACGTTTACGATGACAATATGAGTGGTTAATGAAACCGATCGGCAGTACACATAATATATACATACATAAGGTATATTTACATACGCATATTGAGATAGATTGGCTATAACTGATGATCTCAGGCCTAAGCATACAATCTATTAAAAAAGCTTAAAAGTATTTAATTATCGGCTTATGTGACGGTGTACTAATCCTGTTACAGAGTAGAAACTCTGATTTCCAAAGTTTGTAAGCAATGGCGTTGAAACTCGGCTAGACAAACTATTCGAATTAGTGGCAACAACTTATATTGCGGTGGTTTTATTGGAAGTCGCAAGCCGAGGAGCAAAGTTACTACATTAATTTCCCTATTTCTGTAGATAGTCTATAGACTTACAATGTTAAAAGGAATTGAGATGATGAATGTAAATTCTTTGAATAATTCGGCTGAACATTAATTTGGTAGACATTTATTTTTATTTATTTATATCAGGCAACGAAGGCCCATATTATATTTATGTAAGGTACGAATGCATACAAACGACTCATTCAGATAAATCTTTACTTAGCTATGTAATGAGGTCGATAGGCGTTAGATAATGAAAGTAATTTGCATTTTAAAGGCGCCACTAGTATATTAAGGCCAATTGGTGTATTTATTACACAATTCAAATTGGATATCAATATTTATAGTCGAAACCTGGTTCCGGGCTTATAGAGGCAGCGTGCCACGTAAACTATTATACAGAGCTGTTAATGTTATATCTGTTTCTATAAAGTAGTTATTATGCCAAAATCTAGTTCTTTAAAATTTGAAGTTACCTGAGGGGTGCATGCTCTCGTGGCAAACTGGGCAATTAACTGGGACCCTCGCCTCGAAGATCTCGATGGCAAGGTATTGTCGTAAGCAGGGCTCGCAGCATCGGTGAGAGCACCACGCGAGCCGCTCCATTGCAGCCGAGTTGAACACCGACAGGCATAGCGGACACTCGAGACCATCACCCTGCAAAGAAACGAAGCTAATGTCATATTTATACTTTATAAACGGTAAGTCTGTGAGAAATAAAATCGATTCGAACTGAATTAATTATTAAAAACTCCAGGCCAAAGCTCTCTACAAAAGTTGACGACACATTGCCTCGTGTCTCGTAACCTCTCAGGTCGCTTACTAACAAACACGAGGTTATTTAACAGAAAGCAGTGATCTCCTCTGACAATGAACGATATAACATCTGTTAATTAAGTAGTTAGCAGTAGTATCGAATAGGTGTGTCAGTGACAATGATGCACGGTTGGCACTGCACCCGACTGTTACGTTGCGTCACCAGTTCATGCCCAGTGAATCATGGCGCAACCTGTCGCCGTGGTTTATCGGCAGAAATAATAACTCTTACATTACCAACGACGACATATTGGTCATGATGTTGTTGTTCATTAGTAAAGCCAATAAAAAAAAACGCAAGTTTCGGTAATACTCGAGAATATTGTAAAAATCTAGTATAGATACATTGCTTCGTAATCAAATATGCGTTCCGGTTGTTTAAGTATTCTCCTAATACTCATACGAATGCATTTTTCAAAGATGTTCTAAAATTATAAAATTAAATGCCCATAACAATATTCTAATCTAGGTTACAATAAATCTCTCTGCGATTCTTCAATTGGATCAGCGACGAGTCATTAGATTTCATGGAAGTAGAATGAACACGTTTCTGTTTAACTCGTCGAGTACCGGTTTTGCAGACACAATTATAGAACAATAGGTTGCGGTCACCGGTGACCGCTTGGTATTTGACAGTTTAAACCATATACACATTAGCTACCAAAAAGCGAAACGTCTTGATTATAAATCAACCTTCGAATACGTAAATATATTTTTTTACAAATTACGAGACAATAAGATGTGTTATTATTCCATACTTGCACAGTGGACCGTTATTGTCAATTCATAAATCAAAGTTCCTACTTTATTTTAACGTCACTAATATAATTAGTAACAGAATATTATCGTTGTTTTCCCATAGATAATTAATTATTATTAATTAGATATCAAATATTTTTACCGATACATAACAGGCGGAGAAGCTAGTACTTTTAACCAGGGACAGGTTACCTACAACGGTAATTATAAATTAATAATATTTATGAGTGTAGGTAGTGTCACATGAAAATGGATGAATAGAAAATGAGTCAATGGACTGATGGATCCCATTAACAATATCATTAGTACAATCGTCATACAAAACATAGTAAAGGCATGTCCACTTCCATTACAACTATTGAATAACGTTACATTCATTCCTTTTTAATTAGTTAGTACCTAATTACATGTTTTAATTGGGTATTATCTAACCTTTGGGATATAAAATGCCGAGCAAGGGGTCAAGGGTACAATACCCGGGAAGGCCAAAGTATTATTTAGGGTTTTTAATTTTTCTGTATTTTTCAAGTATTCTCGGGTTGTATTATAATCATTATAATTAGGTTGAAATTTAATTTTAAAATGTGTATTATGTGTACACACATATTTTTTCCTTGTTATTTTTACACTAGTAGTGGTATTTCCCAGTCAGTCAAACCAAAACAAAACTTTTTTCCTCATAATTATTACGCGCTGGGCGCTGAGCTGGAGCTGGGACGTGTATGTAATATGTATAGTCGTGATTCTTCTTAAGAGTGAAATCTTAATAACTGTTAATCTAGTAAAGTGCCTCCATTACAAGAAAAAAATATACCGTTTGCTAAACCTGCAGTAACTCACGGGCCACTAGGCATTCGACAAATTTTAAATTAATGATAATGAATATTTAACGGAACTTTAGAGTTCTTTCTACAAAGTTCTTATTTCAAACCTGATGTAGAATTAATAAACATGTTCATTATTGTTATTATACGTTATTTCGTATTCAAATCTGAATTTAAATAAATCACAAAAAAGAAATGTAAATGACCGGAATGATTTACTGCGAAAATAAAATAAGTATTAGGTAGATGCTATTTTTATCTCTTTATAAATAACGATATTTTAAAATCTTTTGGTAAGTCATCTCACTCATCTGTTACAGTGTATTTTCTAATTTTATAATAAGAAAGTCTCTAAACATTAACTACTGAAAAGAATAAAAAAATGCATGTCATTGAAATATTATGTGAACAAAAGGCTCACAAAACGTGCAAATAGCGTTAACAACAAAACCAATACACAACAAAAAAATTCATCCAAAGAGTATAATTATATAAGACGTGCATAAATGTTAAATATAGGAATGTAATTAGGGATGATATGAAATATTCATGGTTTTTTTACTTTTAAGTACAACACCGACTGTGTTTATTTGTTATAAATTATTTAATAGTTTTAAGAACATAATAAAATTGTCTATTTAACGAATTTTATATATGAACGCGCGTATTTTAACACATGGGTATTTTAGGCGGAAAAAGAGTTTAAGAAATAATAAGATGAAAATTAAATGTAAGAATCGAAAACGACGAAATAAAGCCTAAATTTATTTTATTTTTAAAATAAAATAATTTCAGTTTCCTGCAAACAGGAAAACTATTATTTATGTTGCTATTTGCTATCAAAGCGTAATTTAATTATTCTGTACTGGGAAATATTAAGACGGTACATAGTCGCAATATTAAATATCAGAATGGAATGACCAACGACACAGATAATAAAATCTATGTTTGGAGCATAGAATCAGAATATTTTAAAGACAAACTTTGCCCATCTTAGTTTTTTATGGTACCCATACATCACTAATGTACCGTGTAGTAATCTGAATCTCTATGTCAAAGTAATATGCATAAAAGAAGCCAAACTGATGACTGACAATACGTTGTAAGCATAGTTATTTATTTAATACTTTAACTTTTGTTCGCTATAATATCAAGTTGCGACTACACTAATATGAAATTGTTATGTTTACTACTTAAACTGAGACCGAATGTGCTTCAACAGTTTGTTACCAAATAACACAACATACCGGTACAACGTTTTACGTTAGTAGATTTATGTATATCAAACTCATTAGCAGTACGAATACAATTTACAAAACCGCTCGGAACACAAGGAATTGGATCGAATCAATTGTAACGCCTTGTTGCAATAACAATACCGTTTAATAAAACGCGTTTAGTTCGCAAGTTCGTTAACCAGTCGATACACTGTAGTTCGATACGATTTTACCGCATAGACTTCAAAATATTTTTGATCTTGCATATTGCCGAATCAATTTTTAATTCAGACACAACAATAAACATCTTCTTCGGAATCGTGTGCATTGAATATAAAATAGCACCGTCTAGACGGCTACCATACACGCGACTCGATTACCACCCAAAGTTTCCCCGAAAGCGGTTCTCAAACTCCTATTTAATATAAATTGTATGAAAATGTGCTGAGAACTTAACCACTGAGGATACATACACATGAGCGGTGGAGAGTTCAATTATATCAAAAATATTATTGGAATGCTAAAATTCATGAGGTTCCATAAATGCCTTAGGAATGTTACTACAGTATACGAACGAGTAACCAGTTACTTATAAATTGTAATTGATCTAAAAATCTAAACAATATTAATGGAAAACACCTTCAGTTTCTATTTAAGCCTATTGTGTACAAAGTTTGGTGTCAATTTGCTACAAATAACACGGGGCGTAGCAGTTACGGTCTAAATTGAGAGTAATGGAGCCAAACAGGCCCACTTCTAAGTTGTGAGAGCTCGGGGACGGTGAAAGACGTTTAGCAGAGCGGAGTGCCGAGGCTTCGTATCAATTAGTAATTTACGGGCTGTTGACATCTTTTCGAGTTAGAACGGTTGGAACAATGGAGGTCGGTCACCCGGCCGTCGAGACTTACAAGCTGACGCAAAAAATGGATCGCCACTCCCTTGTACTGTAGCTACGTACGTCTACTATACTGTAGAATTCTAAGAGTCGTACAGATTGAATTTGTAGGTAGGGACGATGTTAATTAAAAGGAGTGTACTTTGGTCTGGTTACTTGTTTGTCGTTAAAAACTTTGGAGCCTAGAAATAGATGAACTTCACTAAGTAGGTAGCGCCAAGATAGTTTGAACAACGCAAAACTTTTAACATTCAGCAGAATAATTACTTTGTTTGTTGTTACAGAGTTTTAAAATTCTCAGTCAAACTCGGCTTTAATTGAAATTATCTCTAGTTAATCTACTCGGAAAACGTTCATTGCTAAAACAAAGGCTTCCTCTTTAGTCCTCCACATCGACAGACTGCTTGCTTGCTCGCCTTTCTTCTTATTGCTTGCTAATAAGCAAGCAAGCAAGAAGAAGCGTAATAATGTAAGGCATATTAAACATTATGTAATGTGATGGAATAAGCGTTTGAATTGAATGTCACGTTAAGCGTGTCACCAATATCTATGTCAAAATTTTTTCTTACGACACACTTAATTTATACAAGAACGTCGAAGAAACAAGTTGGCTATCACTATACCCATATTACTCTTGTAAAAGCTATAAGAGTAGGGAAATGGCTCAACTCAACATCAACAATATGACGTTTACTGGGTATATTTATGCATCATAGCTTTTCTAATCGGTGGATACGAGTTATACACGAGAACAAACTGATTAGTACAACGTCAGTCAGTTTCAAACATGTTTGACGTAAAATAATGGCTGCGGAACAGTTTCATGTTTATAAAATATGTCATTACACTATAACAGTGCGTCAAAGGTCCATTATAATACCAATCGTTATTTGGTAAATAAGAAACATTTCTTTAACTTTGAGTACCTAAACCTACAGCGGCATAACCATTTTGTTTCGATATCGGAGCCCCAGGTATTGCTTCCTCGTCAGTTGGGAAATTATAAATGATGCATAACGAATTTTCATGCTCTTTTTCCTTTGCAGGGTGAACGGTTGGTCCAAGCAATACTTTCATTACGAAAACTTGTGTTTGGCAACAAAGAAAATTGCCCCCTTTATTGTAGTCTTACGAAATACAGAAATG